TGTTCAACCCATCCCCCCAAAAAAAGAGAATTTCTTTTTTTACAATTTTATAGGGTTTGATTTTTAGAAATATCTCTAGATAAAAGTTCAATCTATAGGGCTGGTCATGTTTGAACTTTTTAGAAAATAATGGAAACGACATGGCTGTTAATGGTTGTTAAATTCGTTAACGAGAGTTATGATTCTTTTTAATGAATGACTTTGAGGTTTAAAGTTCATAAAGTCGAGTCTTAAAAAACATCACAACACGGAATTGTGAAAACAAATTGTTTAATGTATTTAATTTTTAAACCATAAATATTTTGACGTTCTGCCATTTTTTTTGAAAAGCATTAATTTATTCTTATTCACGTTTTATTTTACTCGTACGTTATAAAAACTTCATTTCGTTAACTAAACGTTGTCCAGCCCTAAGGAAAGTCGGTATTCGATGGAAAGATGTATTTATGCAAGAAATGAGAAAACTGACGTCACTATGAAATAAACTTTTCATATATTTTTTGTTGCGCATTTGACATTTAATGCCGCACTCAATTTTCATAAAATTTCGGAGATTATCTAATCAACTTTAGTACCTTACGTTATTAGTACTAAGGTACAAATTGTAAATTTGTAAATTTGTAAATTTACATTTGTAAATTTGTAAATTTACATTTGTAAATTTGTAAATTTACATTTGTAAATTAGTAAATTTACATTTGTAAATGTAAATTACATTTACAAAAAGTGCTGTGAAATTAACTGAGTTTTCGCCTCAACCCTTGATTTTTTTGATATTTCAAAGTTTGAAATATCCTCCATCAGGTTCCAAAGATATAAAGTTTAATGTTAAGAACTCCGTTTCTTGGCGTCTTTAACTGCAACAGGAAGCCCTAAAAAGTAGTTATAATACAGGTTTACCCAGAAAGGATGAGACTGTGAAGACGACCTGAAACTCCTATAATATAATGTTTCCAAGGTTAAATTAAGTCTTTTCTCCTACATATAATCTTTTAATGGAGGTAATTAATGAGGTGGCGAAAGAAACAAGTTTACAGTTGCAGGGAATCGTGAATATCAGGAAATAGACAGTATGAATTCTGTACAGTCGTCTCTGAAGTCTCATCAAATGTAGGTAACCCTGTACCTGAAAAAATAGTTTTGTTACATAATCTTTTTGATAATTTACAGAATATAAATGAACCAACTAAATTTTATTTTTAATTGTTTCAAAAGTGTTTAATCCAAAGACTTTTCGAACAATCCAAAATATTCCAGCTTGAAGGGGTCTAAGTTACTCTCTCTGCAAAGATGGCAATGCTCGATTCACAACGATACCCTTGAAACCATTATCTAATCAATAATATTGAAGATATGTTTGTTTTATCTGGTTTAAAAGTTTTAAATCTGATCATTTTAAATTATTTACTGTACAGTTAAAATGCGCAAGTCAATTTTGTAGAGAAACCACAATTGAAAATAATCAGTTTTCTAAATAGAAACATTAATATCAAATTCGTATTTGATCAGAAAAAGCTTTTCAGGGTACCGTTGTGAATTGGACATTGTCCTCTTGGCACGGAGGGTCTCTTGAAAGTACGTTTACAGTCCCTTTAAGCTATATTCACGTCTTTTTTAAGTTAAGACAAGGGTAGATTTAAATTATTTAATTAAAAAACTAAATATCTGCAACATTCCATTATCAGAAAGTGAAGAATACGACATTTGATGAATTCTTTCGATGTATGGCTTATTTAGGGTTTAACTGTAACAACCACCCCCCACCACCACCCAACCTCAGTGCCCTCTTAAGGGACTTTAAATTTACAAAGGTTTAAATGGTTGTAAATCGGACATACCATAAGAAAGGTGTAACTTTAAGGGTCCCAGAAACTATGGATACGATTCTCACTGTAAAATTTAAAAAAAATCAATAATTCCTTTTTATAAAGACAAATTTCACTCCGTTTGTACTATTTTCTAAAAGTACAAAATGTGTACAAAGGAACCGATTACTCGCCTCAAACTCTAATTTTCTAATCTTTACAACCTTTGGTATTTCAAGCTATTAATTCTGCTGAAACAAAAAGTTTTAAACATAAAGTGTTCAACCCATCCATCAGGTTTCAAAGATATAAGGATTAGACAAAATCTGATTTTTAAATTTAATTAATGTTTTAGTTTATGCAGCTAAGGTTTTAAACCTTCTACACTGACCAACTATGGCTTCGTTCTCGGTTTTAACATAAAAACATTTAAAGAGACAAATTGTGTCTGTTTGGCATTTTAAAGAAACTGTCAGCGTTATTTAAAGTTCCATCAACGATTCACTTTGTGGTTTGATTTGATGACAGATTTCGTTCCGTAAATATCGGAACAAATCTCAGCCATTTTTTTGTTCGTCTTCGATGTAAAATTATTCAGTTCTCTGAGCTCAGGCTTAAGCTTTTGGTTGAGATAGCGCTAAGCCAAATCGACTTAACTCAATATCCACAGAGTAAACCTTTAAATTGGAGAGGAAATCAATTAGAAAATTAAGAAGACTTAATCAAAGGGTGCTTAAATCTGACGATTATATCTCCAGGGGAGGGAAACTGGAAAGATTTTACCATTAGATTTATATTTTTAAAAACATTATTTTAAGACATTGTAAGCCAAATAAAATGCTGGACAGAGTTTTATGACGCAGTTTAAATGCAAATTCTTAAAATGCATCCTGCAATGCCCTTCAATTCCAAGATTTTCAAAAAAATCTATGTTTTTACATATTATTACTATGTAGATATATGGGTTATACTTTTCTTTTTTTAAATGAACAAATTTTTGAAAATTATATGACAGTAGACAGTAGACAGTAGACAGTAGACAGTAGACAGTAGACAGTAGACAGTAGACAGTAGACAGTAGACAGTAGACAGTAGACAGTAGATATACATAGATCCATACTTACATATAGATATTCATAGACGTGATATACATAGATATACATAGATCCATACTTACATATAGATATTTATAGACGTGATATACATAGATATACATAGATCCATACTTAAACATAGATATTTATAGACGTGATATACATAGATATTCATAGATCCATACTTACACATAGATATTCATAGACGTGTTATGCATAGATATACATATATTTTTCTTTTTTATAAAATGTGAAGTTTAAAAACTGAAATATATATATATATATAGATCTACAAATACCATACCAACACATAGATCTATATAGATGTACATAGATAAACATAGAGGTACATAATAACAATAATTATTATTAAACTGTGAAAACTGAGACTGCCCTGATCAATAGCAGCATATATTACAAACATAGATATACATATATTTGTATTACATATTAAATCATATTATACCAGCTTGGGAACCCAGCGTTACTCATAGTTACTCCCACCGTTTACCCGCACTTGATCGTGAATTACGATTTTAGCTATTTTTCCCGAATGACCCACTCATTTTATAGTATAAACAAGCTAAAAACATTCCCGTGGCTCTCCCTGGTTCCCCAATCAAAATTGGAGACATATCGGTCCAGGTGTTCCAGAGTTATGATCGGACAAACAAACAAATAAACAGACAAACAGAGATTACAACTTTAATATACATATATATTACATTCAAGATATGTACTTTATCAAACCATTATTGGTTTTAAAAGTTAAAAAAAAACTTCTAGTTCTTATCTAAAATATTTTCAGATATAAAATGTGCAATTGAACCAAGTCTAAACCTAGAAAGGAAGGAGTAAACCAAACAAGGGGAGAAAGGTAAAATTAATTAATTAATTAATTAATTAATTGTGTCGTCTTTGCTTGTTAAGTTCTGTACTCGGCACAAAGTATCCTTTTCTATATCATTACAACCTAATGTTGTAGATCATTGATATTTTGAACTAAAAATTCTTTATGATTGGTTCTTGATTAAAGTTTTAAAAACATTTGGTTTATTTAAAAGCTGCATCATTCTGCATTCTGAATTCTGCAATATGTCTATCTATCTATCTGTTTATTTATCTATCTATCTATCTATCTATCTATCTATCTATCTATCTATCTATCTATCTATCTATCTATCTATCTATCTATCTATCTATCTATCTATCTATCTATCTATCTATCTATCTATCTATCTATCTATCTATCTATCTATCTATCTATCTATCTATCTATCTATCTATCTATCTATCTATCTATCTATCTATCTATCTATCTATCTATCTATCTATCTATCTATCTATCTATCTATCTATCTATCTATCTATCTATCTNTCTTTCTATCTTTCTATCTTTCTATGTACATCTACATATTTTCATTTCCCCATCTAAATTTCTATTTTATTTTATTTCTACCAACAATTGTAGTTCCTAATTTATCTTTTATTTTTATTTGACTTTTATTTCTGGTTTCCCGCCAAAAATCAGCGCCAAATTTTTTTCTGAAAACTCCTCTGTAATTTATTGCTCTGTAGAAAACATGAATTTATTTTCATTAAACGCCAAAAGACAATAAATCTTTTTCAGCATGTTATACAAACATTTTAAATTATTTCGATTTAATTTTGTAATTTTTAAATTTTTTTTTTTTACTTAAAGTTTTACTGCTCTCAATAGATCAGACTTAAACATCTGCCTAAAACTTCTTCAATCTAGAGATAAGCACGTTCGGCTTTTTTTTATTGTATTCTTTCATCGTTCGTGAACGAACCATTTCGTTAGATTTTTTTTCAATTTAGACAGTACACTGCAGTACAAAAGATGCGTACACCTCTGAAATAACTTTCCTTGCATTAAATCCTTGATCTATGGAACCCAATGTCGTAAATCTTTGATATTTCAAACTTATATTATTTGATCTAACAGAATTCATAGTTTGAAATATCCAAGACCTCCAACGTTGGGTTGCATATAATGATTTAGGGTTTAGAAAAGAAGAGTTTGTGGCAAAGACTCAATTCCTTTATAAACCTTGAATTCATACAACAAATATATTTTTTAAATCTCTTAGTTTTTTCACATAAAAGTTTTTTTTACGTACATGCATTATCATAGGATATACCATGACTAGGCCAGGGCTTTACAAAAAATGGCCTTGCGAAGTTGCGCACTCGTCATGGGAAAAGAAATGTTGTTCTTCTTGACACTAGATGTCACTTAGATCAACTTATATATGTCAATTTATAGTTCTATCTCACATATTTGGGTCACTAGGCTTTGTTTACGTTTTCAATTGCAGTAATATATATTGCGTCAAAGACATTTATTTCCTAAAATTATTTGAAAAAAACAAAAACATTAAATGTCCACTACGTGAAATACAATAAAATAAAATACAAAAAAAGTATAGCATGTATTTGAAAATTTATACTCATTAACACGGAACAGGTTAAATGGAAAATAAAGCCCTGACAAAAAAAATTTTGTTTGCGCTTTCAGACAAGTCTGACCTTCCTTAGATTTATTGTACCTCAACCAATCATAAACTTTTGTCTTGTGATGTCACAGAAATCCACTCTGTGCAGGATCTGAGACGGTGTAAGCATTACCGGGCTGTTTAGTGTAATCTGTGCAGGATCCGAACCGGTACAAGCACTTACCGGTACTTCAAGTTTAGTGCAATCAGTGCAAATCCTAACCGGTACAAGCATATTAAGGTACCGGCCGGTCTAGTCAGTATGCGGAAAATCCGAAGTGGTACAAGCATCCAACCGATGTTTGGACCCGGAATGCTTTATGTACAAATGTATAGGCCATGTCTGGATCAATGTGATTTTCACATTTGTCAATTTTTAGGTTGTAAACCAGGTACAAGATGACCAGCCATCAGTCCAGCGAGGACCTTCTTCAACCCGGTCATATCGTCAAGGAAAGATGGAAAGTTACCCGGAAAATTGGCGGAGGCGGTTTCGGAGAAATCTACGAAGGGATCGACCTCGTGACAAAGGAGCAGGTGGCGCTCAAGCTGGAATCCGCGAAACAACCAAAACAAGTTTTAAAAATGGAGGTCGCGGTTCTGAAAAAGCTTCAAGGTAATTTTTGCTAGTTAAAATAGGGAGGCTTTGAATTTTTAAATAATATGGTCAAGCTTCAAAATTAAATCATTGGCGTTTTTCAAAAGTTTCTAACCCTGATTTTTCACGATAGTTATATTTTTGGATTTTTTAGGTCGAGACCATGTTTGCCGATTTATCGGTTGTGGACGAAATGATAGATTTAACTATGTAGTCATGCAGCTTCAGGTAGAACAATATAACAATATATCAGGATGATAGAATTTTGCTTACCTAAACTATCATATGATTACATATTCTAAACCTCAGAAAATTATTTTTTAACAGTGTTCATTCCAGATTTTGCAGTTTTTAACAGTGTCCATCACAGATTTAGCTGTTTTTAACAGTGTGCATCATAGATTTAGCAGCTTATAACAGTGTGCATCACAGATATAGCAGTTTNAAAGGAGAATATAATTAAAATGATAATAGTAATAATAATAATAATAATGACAAAGTTTTGCTGCTGTTCTATGTTTATGGTTTCTCCGTGGTCCAAAAAAGCGCGTTCATTAAAAATTATTTTCCCTAGGCCAAGAATTTAGCGGAGCTTCGGCGCGCGCAGCCACGTGGAGCTTTCTCACTCTCTACAACTCTCAGACTAGGATTCCAAATACTCCAGGTATGTTTATTCAATACTAGGTTGGAAACCCAGCTTTGCCTTCAAACTAAACTTTGCCTTTAAATGGCAATCTTTAACACAAACTAAGAACATTCTCATAGTTCTACCGAGTTCCCCGAATTTGAGACAAAACGATCAAGGGGTTCATGAGTTATGATCAGACAAAATAAAGAGATTACTATAACATAAACCACTGAAACGAAGTGCATGCTTGATTCTCACTCTGCAACCTTTAAATCTTTACTTATCTTTACTTGCTTTGTTTTAGCTTGAAAAGTGTTAAATTAACTGATGATTTTCATCGTTGAAGAAGAAATGACAGTGCAAGTCACTTTATAGAGAAATCACATGCATTCTATAACAGACATTCTATGACACCCTTGTGAATCGGACATGCCAGTCATGAAGAGTCCCTCAAAAAATTATGTCCACAGTCCCTTGAACAGGATTACAGAACGCTTGGCGCCCCTCAGTCTCATCAAAATCTTTTTCTTAATCTGATTATTTTCTTCCTGAAAACTTTTACATCTAAATAATAAAACAGGACATTCGTATATATATATGTTGCGTTTAGCCGGCCAAACGGCTAAACCGATTGGGATGAAATTTTTTGTGGACACTCATGGGTGTAATAGAATTAAAAAATTCGAAATTTTTTTCAATTTTATTTTCCACGGGCAACGCCGGGCCCTTCATCTAGTAAATAATATAACATGTTCTAAAAAACAAAAGTTTCCTGTAACGTGTAAACCTGCCAGAAACATAATAATTTGGCGGCAACCTTGAGAAATTTTTTTCTTCTCATTTATTTAATTATATCTCTCACGAAACCAAAACATTATCCAAGAAATATATGTACAGGGTTAATCATAAACATGAGACTTTAAGGGAGTATCTGGCTAGACATACGGCTGGGGACTTTCCAACTTTTTTTAAGCCGTTTCGTTAACAGTTAGTTCCACGGTTAGTTAACGTTAAAAATACACAGCCGTTAACGGGAAATTACAGTATTAACGGCGTTAATAGGGAAAAAAATTCCGTTACGGGTTTATAAACACAGAAAACGGCATTTAAAAGCATCTAAACGCGTACAATTTTTAAGTTAAAAAAAATCATGCAATTTTAATCAGAAAACAACGAAATTTAACGTTTTTAACCGTTAATTTTTTTCTAAAACGGCTAATTTTCGTTAGTTTTTTCGTTGTCGTCATTGCATAAATTTTAGAAAACCGCTTCTCAAAATTATCCCTCCAATATGAGGATTTCAAAAATTGAATTTGCGCTCTTGCTGAACAAATATGCATCAAAATATGTCTCACCAGTTCTCAAATAATTTCTAAAAAATTTCCTGTAATACTGACTCAAAGAAGTTCGTAGTAAGATTTCGATTCTACTGGAGACCACCGGAGGGATTTCATTTCCACTGGAGGGGTTTGAAAAAATACTTAAAAGAAGGAGAAAGAAGGAGAAAGAAGGAGAAAGAAGGAGAAAGAAGGAGAAAATTACTGCAACGGAAAAGTTTCAAGACAATGTCCACTGCAGTTGTCTCTGAGTCTCATCCTTTGTAAAGCTTATTAAATATTAATCACAAAAACCACAACTTTTTACCGGAAATAGATAAATCAATAAGACTGAAAAAAAAGATTTTAAAAGAGGAAAATATAACTAATTCTAAAGTAGGAACAAAACCATTGTAATTTTTAGATTAATCTCTGAATGTACTTATTTGTAAATCATATGTGTGCCATTTCTATTCTATACTATTCTATTTATTCTATTCTGTTCTATTCTATTCTACTCTATTCTATTCCTTATTCTATTCTCTATTCTATTCTATGATTTTTTAGGGAATAGAAGCTATCCATGATGTTGGGTTTCTTCATAGAGATGTTAAACCCTCAAACTTCGCTGTTGGTCGTCTTCCACAGACAGTTCGGAAGGTATCAAGAAAAGACGACTTTAAATGTTTGTAATTTTGTGATCTCGAGATATTTCCCGGATTTTCTCCTCTCATTAAGGGAAAACTTTTTTTTGTCATTAACTGATGAAAAAAAAGGGGGATAGGGGAGAAAGGGTTAGACTTTGTTTTTAATATTTAAATAATAACGTGAAATGGTAGACTAAAAATTTATTGGATACAAACAAACAACCAAACATATATGCATAGATAAAAGGAGTTTCTGATTTAAAGTAAAATAATGAGTTTTAATTAACAGCAGAAATTGAAATTAAGGATTAAAGAACTTTTTTAATAAATGACTTTCATTAACTTAAATGCACGATTATAAAAAATAAATAATTTTTTTATCTTTTTTATTTTAGATTTTTATGCTTGATTTTGGCCTGGCAAGACAATATACGAACGCAAATGGAGAGGTAATTTTTTTTATATAATTAGCAGTTTTTTATATAATTAACAGTTTTTTATATAATTAACAGTTTTTATATTTTAAATTACATTCCAATTTGATTTATTATCAACCAAAAGAATACACAAACTAACCACCTACCCCCCCCCATCTAGCTAATTAATTGCCATTTAGCGGTTTTATTTCTTCGTACCTTATTTATTGCCATCTAGCGGTTTTAATTCTAGTTAATTAATTGCCATCTAGCGGTTGTATTTCTAGCTAATTAATTGCCATCTAGCAGTTATACTTTTACATAACTTACTGCCATTTATCAGTTGTATTTCTAACTAACGTATTGCCGTCTAGCGGTTATATCTCTAACTAATTTATTGCCATCTGGCGATATTATTTCTAACTAAATTATCTAGCCATTGTATTTTGAAATATTTAGGTTCGACCGGCCCGGGCAGCTGCTGGATTCCGAGGAACTGTTCGTTACGCCTCAATCAATGCTCACAAGAATAGAGAAATGGGTCAGTTCCTTGTTTTTTTATTTAAATTTGTTTTTGTTTTTGTCAATTTCTGTTTTTATGTTTTAGTTGTTTAACGTTTTTTTTGCTCATCTTTATTTAGAATTACCTAATGTTTGACTATTCTGAAATGTCCATGTTTTGTATATTACTCTTCTCTTTCTTATTTATTTTATAGAATCATAATTTATTTTTTGGCAGCAATTGAAAAAAGTAGTTTGAGTTTTTGAAGGCCTAATAACATGATTTTATTGAAAAAGTTATCAGCTATTTGATAAAAATAAAAAATTTCTTTATTATTATCAGAAGAGGTTTTTTTGGGTACTATTGTGATCGTTCATTAAGATCGTTAATTAATGGGTCATTTAGAATTACTTTAACAGTTCCTTTAAAGGGACATGTACTATTCCAGAAAATAGATATTCATGTTTTTTAAAGAAATTTTAAATTGTTTTCACGCATTTCTAGATTTTTAGATTTCTAAATCGGAAATTCTAAGAATATTGCGGTCTTTCTCATCCTTGAATTTTTTTTAAAAAGAGACATGGCATTGGCCTGGATTTCAGGCAATAGAAGAGTCAACATACATACATACATTGTATATGTACATTGTACAAGTTGGGCTAGGTAGAGTCAGACTTTTTCAAGTCATTTGTACGTTTGTACGTTAAAATTGTTAAAAAAAACTCGTTCTACAGCTATAAGAACTGAAAAATAGGTGAAATATTAATGGTAGTCGCCTTTTTTCGAACCTGTTATTTTTATTTACGGTATTTGCTATTGGTTACTCTAGACTTAAAATTTAAGTTTTAAAAAATTTTAAAAAGTTGCCGTTTGTTTGTTTACAACAAGGGGTCAAGAACTCGTTCTATGTAGATCCATGTTTCTCGAAAACAAACAATAGTGACACCAATCAATTTTCAATCTTGCTAACACAGGAATTGAGTCTTTGCCACAAACTCTGATTTTTTAATCTCAATATCTTTGCAACCCAATGTAATAGACCTTAGATATTTCAAACTGAAAAATTGAATAATCTTAGTTTGAAATATCAAAGATTTACACCATCAGGCTGCAAAGATATAGGGATTACAAATTTTAGTGAGTGGTAAAGATTTAACCCACCCCCTCCTTACTCCTTACTTACACTTTTTACTTATTTGTAAATCATATGTGTGCCATTTCTATTCTATACTATTCTATTTATTCTATTCTGTTCTATTCTATTCTACTCTATTCTATTCCTTATTCTATTCTCTATTCTATTCTATGATTTTTTNATAACCCTCACCCCCTTACCCCTACATACCCTTGTTGTACCCCTGGTTGTTGCAGTAGATTACTGCTGTAGAATTGAAAGCAGGACTCGCAATAAGAAAATAACTAAATTTATGAGCTTCGACACAAAATGTTTGCTGAATTAGCCCAAAGGAAGGTCACGGCCTGCAATATTCTTTGCTAAAAAAATCATGAAAATATGTATTCAAGAAACGAAAAAACAAATAAGGATTTTAAACAAATATTTTTCCTTTCAATGCAATTTCCTTTTTTAATATTGGAAAAAATGAAGTACTCAGCAACTCTATATAAATTTGTTGTATCAATTATTTTCTATCTATCTATTTATCATATATCTATCTATCTTTTTATCATTTATCTATCTATCTATCCATGTTTAATCTATATTTCCTTCAATCAGCAGTAGTCTCATCATTTATTTATTTTTGAGTTGGACCAGACTAAACTCTCTCAAGAACATCATCACATTCATTCAATGTCTACTTAAACAAACCTTGAAACTATTCTAATTATTTTCTTGTTTAGGACGCCATGACGATCTATGGTCTCTGTTCTATATGCTGGTGGAGTTTGCTAATGGTCAGCTGCCCTGGAGAAAGATTAAGGACAAGGAGCAGGTCGGGCTCATGAAGGAGAAGTATGATCATCGGCTTTTGCTCAAACATCTTCCCTCAGACTTTAAGCAGCTGATGGAGCACCTCCAGGCTCTGGAGTATGCTGATAAACCAGACTATGCCATGATCTCTGGTATTTTTGAAAGAACAATGAAGCGGCGTGGAGTGCGGGAGTCTGATCCGTTTGATTGGGAAAAGACCGGAAGTGATAGCACAACATCTGAAGGATTGATGCAAACCTCTACACCAGTGAAGAACAGTCAACCCAGTAAGGTCATTATCACCACAGACAATGTAGAGCGTGGAATCGTAGACAACCAAGAAAATGTTGAGCCGGACAACAGGAAGGAGGTGAGGATTTCGGATCTGGAATTAAAAAGACGGAACCGGAGAGAATCAAATCAGATTCAAAATGAGATGGTGAGTCTGAACACGAGTGAGCCAAATAAAGAAAAAGTGGTAATTGACAGCAACTGCAATACAAATATTGTAAATCTCCAAAATGAGAATGAGTCTCCAAAGAAAATGAAAATTGAGGAGAAAGGAATGAATGATAAACAGGAGGCAGAGAAGAAAAATGATATTGACAAGGAAGGAGATGCTGTGATGGTAGTCTGGTCTGAAGAGAACAAAAATAAGAAAACTAACAATAACAGAGACTCAGGAGTATTTGCCCTTGATGTCAACACAAAGACAGATGGGTTGGAAGAGCCTGTTTCTCCTAGTCCCAGGCTAGCAAAGGATGTATGGAGCACTGACCAAGAGGGCAGCCAAATATCCTTTAATGTCAGAGGAACTATCGAAAGAAGAAAAAAGATGTATATCGGGAGCAAAAGCTCTTCTGTTCTAAGTCGATACAGAAGCAATGCAGATAACTCTATAACACAAGTGGCACTAATGGATGATGAAAATTTGTCCCAAGCTGTTACTCATGGGGGAGGGGGCATAACTCTTCATTCCAAGTGGAAATCTCAGTTTGATGATTCAGAAGCATCTGAGAATGAAACAGAGATGAAAGGTGAGAATCTACAGAGCCCTGAGCACAGACAAGGAGATTCCCCGAAACAAGAATCTGCTAACCAATCCAACATTGTCACAACCACTAGACAATTGGAGCTTTCAAGAATAACAGAAAGCAGTGGGGGGTCTCATCATGGGGCTGAGAAGCCAAGTCCTGGAGGGGATAGAAAATCTCTTCATCTAGAAATAATACTTCCAGCTCCACTGTCAGCCAAGATGCAGAGCCCAGATCAAAGTAAGCCTATTGCTATTCCACCCCCACCTAAAATAGAGCCACCTCCCCCACCCCCAGATTTTATTCCACTTCAGCACTCTGCTAGCGCACCTTCTTTTAATAGACCACCTCTCTCACCTAGCATTATACAGCAATCTCCCCAAGGGTTTACTCCGCCTCCTCCACCCCAATTTGCACCTCCTCCTCCTCCTCTCACGGTAGCATTGAGTGGGTCTGATGTCGCTGCCAAGTATGATGTGTCACCGGGAGGGGCCATTCAAGATATGAAGTCACAAATTCTTAACAGATATCACCCTTTGCAGCACTCAGCCTCGGTCCACAGTTATGTTGGTTCCGAGGCCAGAACTCAATCACCGATATCTCAGCTGAGATCCAATGCAAAATCTCCTCTACTCCTAGAGGCAAAACTTTTACCCCCCGAGCCAACAATCTCCAACAAAAGTGAGGAGGAGGAAGTAGAAGATGAGGAGGAGGAGCAAGAAGAGGAAGAGGAGGAAGATGATGGCGAGGAAGACGATAATGAGGAAAATCCAGAATATGTTGCTGCAGTTTGTCAGTATACAACTGTACTGAAAGAGACACCACCTGGATTTACAGATAAGAAGTATGAGGTGAACTACATGAATCTAGAAAAAAATGTTCCCCTTGAAAATGACAAAGAATCCATTCCAAGAACAAAATCAAACCCTCAGATATGTGATAGCACTCAAACAATCCCATACTCACAGAAAACTAGACATTCAGTAACCATTATTGATGCTGGTAAAACTGGAGTTAAATTCAGTGATTCAAGTGAAAACCAGACAAAACAACAAGGTTCACAGTGCCAAGGGGATATCTCAAGGGATAGATCAAGCAGCGAAAGACTTATTGAGTACTGTGAAGAGGAGGATGAAGAAGATGAGGATGGAAATATGGCAGTCTCCGGCAAATTGGCCATACATTTAGATACTGGTGAAACATCTAGGGAGTTTTGTCTCAACAAGCTTGATGAGAGTAGCACAAAAAGTCAAAAAGATGATAGCGCCACTTTCAACTCAGAAGAGAAGCCATTATTTGTTAAGAAATACAGAGGCAGATTTTTTCAAACCGATGTAGAAGATAAAAGTGACAGTCCACCTGTCCCCCCACCCAGGAGTAAAAGTAAGGAAGGAAGTTTAAACCTGGACAGATCTAGTCCAAAAAACTACTTTACAGGTAAACCGGATAAAAATCCAAATGAAAAGTCTGTCTATTTTGAAGCATCAGATGATCCCCAATGTGGGGGATCCACAGTGATTGATGCAACTTACCACTCCTCAACGAAGGTTTTGGAGAGTAGGTTGCCAGGGAGTTTTGGTGAAAGTAAAAATGTGGAATATTTGGAAAAAAAAGAAGTGAAAAGTGTTGAAAACAGTGATAGAAGTAACAGTCAAAGTAAATCTTCCTCCAGTGATAAACTGAAGGCCAGAACTGGCTCACAATCATGTAGAAGAATTGGTGTAGTATCTGCCGATCTATCAACAGAATATCTAAAAACTAGAAATGACAAAGTAGCTCGGAGAATCAGCTTAGATGACTTGAACACTGCATTCCAAGGATTAAATGGGTCCAAAAAGACAAACAATGGTAGTAACAGCTCCCACAGACTTCGGAGTGAGGAAAATGCAGGGGCAGAATACCAAAGTGATGACAGTATTCTAGAGGATAAGGCAGAAATGTCCATGCGATCTGGAAGTCAAAGAAGAAGTAAGTCAGAGGAGAGTTTACTGGACCGAATTGACTCTGCGTATGTCAAAGGAGGCTCTAGTAGTAGAAAAAACTCTCCTTTAAGTCATAGTAGCTCCATGCACCATCATCTAAGTCGGGGGGGATCTCCACATGAAAGGTGCACTTTTCGCCATCAGCAGCGAGACTTAAGCAACTCTTTCTCAAAAGAAGACTCTAGTCTTCAAGGTAAAAGTAGAATACCATTGCCTGTAAAACTTGTGTCGGACAAAGATGAAAAGAGTTCGACAGCAGAGCCATGCTCTGATGTTTACAGTCCAGATTCTCATGTTCGAAATGAATATCATCCTGGAACTTACGCAAGTAGATACACTGATCCCCATAGATACACTTCCTCATATTTAGCCTCTTACACTGCTGCTCCTTCTCACTTAACAGGTCATGCTTACACTATTCACGATAGACCTGATTATAGCACGCCTAACAATTACTCTAGCTATAGACCCACCAGTGCCAAAGATTATACTCGGTACAACTACTATTCTAGTGCAGTGCCTGACCCAGAGCCTTCTTATCTAACTAGTGGACAGACATCCCCCCGATGGAGAAGACGTTCTTATGATCACGACTCAGACTACTTGCGTTATCAGCGCAGAAGTCGCCCTCTCTCTGATTATCCTTCAGTTCCTGCATCTAATGCAGGAAACTCAGCCCTCACCCGTTCCAGATCCAGGTCCAGGGTGACTGAGTATGAACCCTATCGGAGAGAAGGGGACAGTTACTTGACCTCTAGTATGTATACTCGGCCAACCTCCAGCTACATTTATAGTCATTCTTACTATGGTGATGGCGGAGATGATGGGGGTCGTGTCAGACATCCTCGCCCTCCAGACTACCCTCCCATCTCATCAGAGGTCAGCGGTAGAACAAGACGTTATCAACCTGAAAAGTAATACCACTACTTTGAAGAATAAAGAATGGTATCGGGCTAAAAAATATGTGAACAATGTTTTTTATACTGCAATCTCAAGTACATTTATCAACATAAAAGACATCACACTGATTTCTTCATCTAAAGTCAAAGTCAAAATGTTTAAGAAAAAAATTTTAGACAAGTGTTTGCTGAGTGATATGTCCATTTATAGAAATATTATAATGGTGTACTAAATGACCTAAACTTTTTGTTTCCATGTATCTATGTGACATTTCAGTGAAAATTTTAAGATTTCCTGAAAAAAAATGTTGACCCTACTCAGAAAAATCAATGGTCAACAAATTTTAGTATCTAAATTTAATGTGGTAAAAGAACTAAATCTAGTCATTAATTAATACTGGTTAATTAGGGAAAATTAGAAATTTTTATAAATGTTTTAACATCTTATTATTTATTAGTTTTTCTAGAGTAGACAATCAACCTAAAAGGCATCTTAAAATTGCAACAAAAAAGTTGGTGATTTGGAGTGTTTGCGAAAATGAAAGGGTGTAGAATGGACCATATTTAAGTTGTGAATAAGTACAACTTTTACTCCTATCTAATGTTTCTGTAGAGAATTAGTAACAGCTCTCAAAAACCTTGATAGCTTAGTTCTACACAGCTTAGAGGGATTTTTTATTTTATGAGAGACAAAACATTTAAAATTAATAGAAGAAATGCCAATTTGTTCTTATTCTATAATGGTTCACCTTGTACCCCCATTTACCTCCATTCTTTTTTGCATACACTCCCTTTACAAAATATTTAACTTAACAAGTCCTAGATAAATTAAAACCATGTGTACTCTTTAATAAATATAAAAGTATACCCTGTTGTGTACTTTGTAACCAATCCAATGTAATTTTTAGTCATGGTTCTACAATCTACATTTTTATTCTCTATGCCAAAAGTTATCAAAGAAAACTCTTATCCAAAATCTCATATTAAAAACCTTTTTACTTTGACGTTTTAGTTAATTAAATGATATAAATATTATAGAATTTAACTGATGGCAAATGATCCCTTTTTTTGGCAATCTTCTCTAAATTATTATAATTTCTTTTCCGTGCTTGATGTTAAACCACCTGGCAATTGCGCTAACTCTAACATGCCTGGAATTGTGCGCTTGATAGTGTTGCTACAAGGCATTATTTTCACTATGGCAATTTTGTTACACGGCATTATGTTCAGTATGGCAATGTTATTACACGGCATAATGTTCAGTATGGCAATGTTGTTACACGGTATTATGTTCAGTATGGCAATGTTGTTACACGGTATTATGTTCAGTATGGCAATCTTGCTACACGACATTATGTTCAGTATGGCAATGTTCTTACACGGCATTAGGTTTAGTATGGCAATTTTGTTACACGGCATTATGTTCGGTATGGCAATGTTGCTACACGACATTATGTACAGTATGGCAATGTTGTTACACGGCATTATGTACAGTATGGCAATGTTGCTACACGACATTATGTACAGTATGGCAATGTTGTTACATGGCAATATGTTCAGTATGGCAATGTTGCTACACGGCATTATGTTCAGTATGGCAATGTTGCTACACGACATTATGTTCAGTATGGCAATGTTGCTACACGGCATTATGTTCAGTATGGCAATGTTGCTACACGGCATTATGTTCAGTATGGCAATGTTGCTACACGGCATTATGTTTAAAATGGCAATGTTTAGGGTGCCACTATTGTATGGCAGTGATTGCCTTCTATCTGGCAATATTGATTGAAATTGCCCTCTGTATGGCAATAATGCAATACAGTTGGGACCCCATTAGTCTATATAATCTATATAATGTGATATTACTTTGATCCCCACATTTTTAGAGGGAGTAAACACCAGTGTTTTTATTATTAACTTATTTTTGAATATTTTTTTTATTTATTAAAACACGTTGTTTTAGTTTCCCTCTATGTGGTTTGGTGATTTATTATGTTGAGCATATAAATAAATTTAAAACTTTTTATATGGAACCTGTTTTTTTAAAATAAAATATTCAGCTCTTGAAGAATGGAAAATGACTAAAAGCGTAATTTCAAGGGACCCTCTGTGCAAATTGCCGATTCATAACGGGTTCCTTTGAAACCTTTATTTGATCAATCGTGTGGAAGATATTGTCGTTTTCAGGTTTCCGATAGAGAACCCACAAGGGAATATGATCTGTTTTCAAAATGATAAATATTAATATCTAATTAATATTTGATGATACAAAGCTTGTAAGGGTACCTTTGGGAATCGGACGTTGCCATCACTTGAAATCCCGCCAAGAGTCCCTTAAAGGGAAAATGAAAGGGGGTATAGGCTTAAAGCTAATCACTTTAGCTCTTGATCGCGACCCATGAAAGAGCTAAAGTGATTAGCTTTCAGCCTATACCCCCTTTCATTTTCCCTTTACTGTCCCTTTAAAATGTTAAAAAAGTAGGAAAATTGACGAACAATTTGAACCATGTCAGTTTTTAGTTAAATTAGAGGCGGAAATAAAGCTATTTAATTTTAACAACGAATGGAAAAAATCGTGCCCCAATCTGACATCAGAGCTTTTTTTAAATTTAACAAAAAAATGCTATTTTCTTCTGGTCAAAGTTGTTAACCAGAATAAAACCCCATGGATGAATATCTGAATCTTTTCAGTGGAATATAAATCCCCCTGCGTAAAGTTTTGAATATAAATCACCCTGCGTAAAGTTTTGAATATAAATCACCCTGTGTAAAGTTTTGAATATAAATCACCCTGTGTAAAGTTTTGAATACAAATCACCCTGTGTAAAGTTTTGAATATAAATCACCCTGCGTAAAGTTTTGAATATAAATCACCCTGCGTAAAGTTTTGAATATAAATCACCCTGTTGAATATAAATCACCCTGTGTAAAGTTTGGAATATAAATCACCCTGCGAAAAGTTTTGAATATAAATCACCCTGTGTAAAGTTTTGAATATAAATCACCCTGCGTAAAGTTTTGAATATAAATCACCCTGCGTAAAGGTTTGAATTGTTGAATTGTAAATAGCAATTACAAACGTTATCAAGCATACAATGAGTTCCTGATTTAGAATGATTTCCTGATTTAGAACGAGTTCCTGATTAAGAACGAGTTCCTGACTTAGAACGCGTTCCTTAGAATGAGTTCCTGATTCAGAATGAGTTCCTAATTTAGAACGAGTTCCTGATTTAGAACGAGTTCCTGATTTAGAACGAGTTCCTGAGTTAGAATGCGTTCCTGATTGCTAACATTAACAATTCCAGACCATTCTATTTAACCAATTACTGCTCGTTCATTCATAGATCGTTCCAATGTTTTTAAGAACACGTTCTGTGTTCATTTTTTTCTCGAAACAATGGTATCGACCTTGAAAATTTCGTTTGTTCCTGTGAAAATAATTGTCGGAGCACTATAATCGAGACTCTCCTTCAGCTATCCTGCACACCACCTTGTAAATACCAGCCAAGTTGGGAAAAATATATTAATTATCAATTTTTTGTTAATTTATTATTTGTTTTAAAGACTGTTCTTTAAGATTTATGTTGTTACTTTGAAATTCCGTTTCTCCTCCAGTTCTGATTTTACTTACTTAATTATTCATTAATTTATTTACTATTAACTTTGAGAAAACTAATGCAATTTTATTTTTAAATTCTCTAAATGCACAAAACGACTGTCCTGTCCCGAGATTTTAAATGTACAAATATAAAAGATTTTACGAAATTTACAATCATCAGCTGCTCAAGACTCGAGCCTTAAAGAGAGTAAAACCCAAGAGGGTTGGTTCTTACTAAACTCAAGGCCATCCAAAACCCGGGTCTTGACTTGAGCTTTACTTGGGTCTAAGCAGAAGCAAAGACCGGGTTTTAGTCGGGTTTAAGCTTTTAAAATCTCATCTCTGATGTTTTCTTTAAACTAGGAGAAACTACACGAAAAATTGAACGCATAAAAGAAACTTATTCAGTTAGATTCTTGGGAATATGGCTGGATACTGAATTGAACTTTATTGACTATTTTATAAAGATATACAACCGATTAACTATTTTACTTTAAGAAAAGATTTCATATTATCAAAAAATATCAAAAACGCAAATCTTAGAAACAGAAATGATTTTCATATTCCTAGAACTAAAATCTTTTAAAATTGGACTGCTTCCTCCTCACAATTTCCCTAAAATATGGTATGAAAATAAACGACATTTTTAAAATTTTCAAATATCAATCTTATTTCGAACTTTAAACAGAATTTAACTTAAGATTTTTATCAGCAGAACAAATGTATAAATTCTAACACACGCTATGTTTGCAAAAGAATCAAAGAAAGCAAAGACGAAAAAGATTAAAAAGAGTAAAAGATATAATCAAACATAAAGGATGTCAAAAATCAGCCGAATTAAAAAGATGCTTAAAAATGCTAATTTTTAACCTATACATTTTTCACAACTCATAAAACCAATAAATGTCAAAACGGCTGAACCGATCGGGCCCAACTTTTTTTTGTTCTCCTCAGATAAAGGTACCACTGTGAATCCCACAAATAAACGTCACTCTTTTATTGGAGGGTTAATTCAAATGATCTCGCTTGATAATCCAACCTTGTTCTAGGTCTTGAACAAAATGTATTTCAAATAACACACCGAACACTGAACACATACAGAACACAAAGTTAACATGGTTGCAAAATGTATTTCAAATAACACACCGAACACTGAACACATACAGAACACTAAGTTAACATGGTTGTAAAATGTATTTCAAATAACACACCGAACACATACAGAACACAAAGTTAACATGGTAGCAACAAATCTTGTAAAAAGGTGAAATAACATTATAAGTAAATAAATGCATTTAACACAAAATAAAAATAATAGTTTTCTTCAGTTCTTCTTCTTCCGTTGTACAGTAGCAGTGTTGGTTGAGACTAAACAATAAAATATTAATAATTCATATCCCTGGTCTCCCTGGTCAACACTTTATTTTGTTCTGTATGTATATTTTTATTAATCAATTTTATTTTCCCAGCAGTTGATGGGCTTTATTCTGCATCAACTCTTGATCAAAGATGGATTTATATAACTGAGTTGAACTACGTAGGGCGAACTGAACTACTTATTCTGCAATGTAATTCAGCAATATCATTGATTCTTGATTTTGGTTATAAATTAATAGAAATGGATAAGTACAACTTTTTTGATTTCGAACCCGTGTGTTTCACTTTTGAATTAAAATTGAAGCGTATTTAGAAATGGTCAGCTTAAGTTCATAAATAGTTGGTTCTAATCCGTGCTTAAGATCTCTATATAATTTTGATCCAGGATCCAGGATCCGTCCTGAGAAAAATGGATCCGGATCCAGGATCCGTCATGAGAAAAATGGATCCGGATCCAGGATCCGTCCTGAGAAAAATGGATCCGGATCCAGGTCGTCAGAGTTTCTTAAAATTCAATGTTTTGAACAATTGAAAAATGTTCAAATTTTACGCTTATTCCTTTTGCTAAAATTTGCAGAACCATTTAGAGATTAGAATGTTTTTAAAATCTCTCATTAGCTAAGATTTGTGTTTTAACAGGTTTTGATTGATATTTTGCCCTTTGCTCTTTGATCCGGATCCTAAGCACTGGTTCTAATGATATGAATCTCACCTGAAGAATAGGTTTGGTTTGAGAGTTTGGTGAGACCTAGAACCATCAGGATAGAGAACAGAAAACAGGTGGTAGCACAAACCTAGATACAGTTATATTGGATACAGGATACAGGTGGTAGCACAAACCTAGATACAGTTGTATTAGATACAGGATACAGGTGGTAGCACACACCTAGATACAGTTATATTGGATACAAGATACAGGTGGTAGCACACACCTAGATACAGTTATATTGGATACAGGATACAGGTAGTAGCACACGCCTAGATACAGTTATAATGAATACAGGTGGTAGCACACACCTAGATACAGTTATATTGGATAAGGTGGTAGCACACACCTAGATACAGTTATATTGGATACAGGTGGTAGCACACACCTAGATACAGTTATATTGGATACAGGTGGTAGAACACGCCTAGATACAGTTAGATTAGATACAGGATACAGGTGGTAGCACACACCTAGATACAGTTTTTTAGAATCCAGGATACAGGATACACCTAGATACAGTTAGATTAGAAATCAGAATACAGGATACACCTAGATAGTTAGATTATAAATCAGGATACAGGATACACCTTGATACAGTTAGATTAGATTTCAGGATACAGTAAGATTAGGATACCGGATACAATTAAATTAGGATACTGGACAAGGTTAGTATTAGATTAGGATACAGGATACAGGGTACAGGATAGGTTAGAAAAAGGATACAGGAAACAGGAGGTAGTACTAACCTAGATACAGGAAACAGTTAGATTATGATACAGGATACAGTTATATTAGATACAAAATACAGTTAGACAAGGATACAGGATACAATTAGATTATGATATAGTTAGATTAGGATACAATTAGATTAGGATACAATTAGATTAGGATACAGGGTACAGAAAACAGGTGGTAGCGCACATTTAAATCCAGTTAGATTAGATACAGGATTCAGGATATGGTTATATTAAAAAATAGGATTCAGGACATAGAAAACAGGTGGTATCACACCTAGATACAGTTAGATATAATACACGATAAATAAATATCAGACAATTACAATTTATCTCAGTTTTAAATAATTTATATGATAAAGGTTTATTTTCACCTTTACCCAAAAAGTGTTTTTTTGTTTGTTTTAAAGTGGGAAAACCATCAAGACATTGTAGGCTTAATCGCCCCTGAGAATCACAGTTTTCACTTTTTCACGAAGGGGGGCTTAACACCCCTGTATAATGAATTTGATTGCTCCTCACCCTATGAATGGTGGCTGATGCCATCATGGCTACCAGGAGACAGAAAACCACCTCGGACAGCTGGGTCTGGAAACTTGATCCAAACATACTCTTCTCCAGGTTTCCTATCCCGGTGAGAAGGAAGACGAAGAGCAAGGAGCCGGTGAACCCACCCAGCACAGTCATCAGTTGGGTAGAGGCAAACATGGTCTTGTACACCTACATCATAAAAAATAATAATTATGATGATAATAAAAATAATAATGATAATTATAATAGAATAGTAAAAATAATAATAAAAATGATAATATTAATTGATGAAAGTGATCTCTGCCAGAGTTAGCATCCTAGACGGAAAATCTACCACAATTAGCCTCTTAATCCATGATATCGGCAGAGTGCATACAGCACTGTGAACCTAACAATTCGTGCGACATGAATGGTACGACTTTGAGACCTCGTAGCTCTCAAGTTGGGATTTTACGCAGAAGTATGATAAAATCAACTTATTGGAAATTTAAATTCTGAAAACTCTATTAAAACAAGCATATGATATTTTTGATCTTACGTTTAATTTAGTTTAGTTCAATGTTACAGATAACTTCTATTCACTATTCGCCAGATTGAAATCTTATGTTTTTATTATTGAAAAGCTATTGAAATTTTTTTTTGAATCTATAACATGCAACCGAATAAGTTTGCTTCTGTGCGTGTAAAATCAGAACTAGAGGAGGAACGGAGTCACTAAGTTGTAACAGTAATGTCAATTTGACCTCCTTCTCCTGGTTAGTTTGCAGTGTATAACCTGCATCCCACTAAACGTGAGTAGAGAGAGTAAAGAAGAAACCAGGAATGAGTTCCCCTCTGTTAGAACCATTTTTCTCTGAAACAAAATAATGATGAAGAGGAGGATGGGTTATGTAAGGATTGTGTTGTCTATACTAGGAGGTCCCTGATCCTGCTGACAAGCAATCTTACTCAGGCTCTTAGATAGAACCTCTTGCAAGCTATCCCTCATACCTTAAAAAACATAACTGTAAATATTCCTTTGTGGTAGAGAGTTTTTAAACTGCTTATAAAAAACTCGATGGTTCTCAGAGAAAATATATTTCGATATTTTAAATATCCTTCTCATTTCTTGAGGCGTAAGTCTATACAAGACATAGATAGATAGATATAGATTGGCATTGATAAATAGTGTAGTGGTAGCTAGAGCTTCAATTCGGACAATAATTAATGGTTTTGGACATTTTCCGATCGAATGGTTTTTCAATCATTCTTTTAGCAATATTTTATCTAAGTTGTAAGTTTTGAATTCTTCTTATTCTCTGATTATATGTTAAGGTGTACTGCAGTTTATAGGAGGAATGTAAACAGACGCTTTGCTGCACATATTAAACCTTGTTTACAGTACTCCCAGAAACTGCAGTACACATAATTCATTTTAAATTCCTTGGATAGATTATATTGCTTTATACAGAGCGTCCCATTTCATGTTGGATTATCGCTCAAATACTAAAATCTAGTATTTTCTGAATGCAAATTTTTATCTTAGCCTCATTCAATCTTTTTCAATGATTCATTCTGTTTAAATGTTATGATTAGTCCCAAAAATCGCAATTTAAAGCTATAAACAATCTTATATGATGTGAGAGACCTTGTATAATATCACGTGTCTAGTTGTCAATCAAATTAAAGTTTAAGTGGCCAAGATCGCTGATGAGATTAATCTGTAATTTGCTACCTGGATCTAGAATACTGAGTACTCTCTGCTGACCGCTAGGCCCTTGTCTCATATGCAGAATATCAACAAGCGCTATCTCACTAAACATTCAGTTTAGGTTAGATATAGATATTAGGTATTTAGTTACTTCTCTTCCTATCTACCTTTTTACATGTCCATTTATCTAACTATTTATCTAACTATCAAACTATCAAACTATCAAACTATCAAACTATCAAACTATCAAACTATCAAACTATCAAACTATCAAACTCTATCAAACTATCAAACTATCAAACTATCAAACTATTAAACTATTCTATAAAACTATCAAACTATCAAACTATCTATCTGTCTAACTGTCTACCATTCTGCCCCCGTCTAACTGTCTTACTGTCTAACTTACTTACTTGGAGAGTAGTTGTTGTAGCCCCCGCTAGGGGCATTTAGCAACTGTCTACCTGTCTACTGGTATACTGGTCTACTGATCTACCTGTCTACCAATCAACCGACCTGGAAGATTTGACTGATGGATTCTTTTCCTTAGTTCCATTCACCAGCATTGGGACCCACATCTTCAGCAGTTCCTGATCATTATCATCATTATCGTCATTGTCCTTAATGTCCTCATTGTCATCATAGTCATCATAGTCATCATTGTCATCATAGTCATCATAGTCATCATAGTCATCATAGTCATAGGCATCATAGTCATCATTGTCATCATTGTCATTATTGTCATCATTGTCATTTTTTTATTATTGTCATCTTTGTCATTATTGACATTATTGTCATTGTCATCTTCGTCATTATTGTATTATCGTTGTTCCCTCCTGGCAATGATGAACATGATTCTGGTAATTTACCATTGAGAGATGATCCTGTTCCCTCCTGGCAATGATGGACATGATTCTACTGATTTACCTGTGATGATCTTGTTCCCTCCTGGCAATGATGGACATGATTCTACTAGATTTACCTGTGTTAAAAGATCCTGTTCCCCCCTGGCAATGATGAACATGATTCTGCTTATTTACCTGTGATAGAAGATCTTGTTCCCTCCTAGCAATGATGAACATGATTCTGCTAATTTACCTGTGAGAGAAGATCCTGTTCCCTCCTAGCAATGATGGACATGATTCTACTAGATTTACCTGTAAGAGAAGATCCTGTTCCCTCCTGGCAATGATGAACATGATTCTACTAATTTACCTGTGAGAGAAGATCCTGTTCCCTCCTGGCAATGATGGACATGATTCTACTGGGTTTACCTGTGAGAGAAGATCTTATTCCCTCCTGGCAATGATGAACATGATTCTGCTAATTTACCTGTAAGAGAAGATCTTGTTCCCTCCTTGCAATGATGAACATGATTCTGCTAATTTACCTGTGAGAGATGTTCCTGTTCCCTCCAGGCAATGATGAACATGATTCTAATGATTTACCTGTAAGAGATGATCCTGTTCCCTCCTGGCAATGATGAACATGATTCTAATGATTTACCTGTAAGAGATGATCCTGTTCCCTCCTGGCAATGATGAACATGATTCTAATGATTTACCTGTAAGAGATGATCCTGTTCCCTCCTGGCAATGATGAACATGATTCTACTGATTTACCTGTGAGAGATGATCCTGTTCCCTCCAGGCAATGATGGACATGATTCTGCTAATTTACCTATGAGAGAAGATCTTGTTTCCTCCTGGCAATGATGGACATGATTCTACTGATTTACCTGTGATGATCTTGTTCCCTCCTGGCAATGATGAACATGGTTCTACTAATTTACCTGTAAGAGAAGATCCTGTTCCCTCCTGGCAATGATGGACATGATTCTACTGATTTACCTGTGATGATCTTGTTCCCTCCTGGCAAAGATGAACATGATTCTACTAATTTACCTGTAAGAGAAGATCCTGTTCCCTCCTGGCAAAGATGAACATGATTCTACTAATTTACATGTGATAGAAGATCTTGTTCCCTCCTGGCAATGATGGACATGATTCTGCTAATTTACCTGTGAGAGAAGATCCTGTTCCCTCCTGGCAATGATGGACATGATTCTACTGATTTACCTGTGATGATCTTGTTCCCTCCTGGCAATGATGAACATGATTCTGCTAATTTACCAGTGAGAGAAGATCTTGTTCCCTCCTGGCAATGATGAACATGATTCTGCAAATTTACCTGTGAGAGAATATCTTGTTCCCTCCTGGCAATGATGAACATGATTCTGCTAATTTACCTGTGAGAGAAGATCCTGTTCCCTCCTGGCAATGATGAACATGATTCTGCAAATTTACCTGTGAGAGAATATCTTGTTCCCTCCTGGCAATGATGAACATGATTCTACTGATTTACCTGTGATGATCTTGTTCCCTCCTGGCAAAGATGAACATGATTCTACTAATTTACCTGTGATAGAAGATCTTGTTCCCTCCTGGCAATGATGGACATGATTCTGCTAATTTACCTGTGAGAGAAGATCCTGTTCCCTCCTGGCAATGATGGACATGATTCTACTGGATTTACCTGTGAGAGAAGATCCTGTTCCCTCCTGGCAATGATGGACATGATTCTACTGGGTTTACCTGTGAGAGAAGATCCTGTGCCCTCCTGGCAATGATTGACATGATTCTACGGATTTACCTGCGAGAGAAGATCCTGTTCTCTCCTGGCAATGATGAACATGATTCTACTGATTTACCTGTGAAAGCAGATCCTGTTCCCTCCTGGCAATGATGGATGTGATGCTGGCAACCAACTCCTTCACATCTGAACTCTGATGATTGATTGATCGGCTGAAGGGAGTGAGAAGATCAACGGGAACAACCTCGCCCTGCAAATCAAATCAAATCAAATCAAATCAAATCAAATCAATACAATGATGCTTTCACATACAATATTGATTAAACAATAAAAAAGTTTCTTTTTAAATCTAAATGTTTCACCTTGTTAATGCAGTTTGATATTATAAGACCAGAACAGCGAACTCCATTGCATGCTATAGCATCCCTAAAATGATAAGAGTTAAACAAGCACAGATACTAATAGTTACCAATTATGCTTGATAATACTGAGAAAAAAATCACGCACCCCTGACCCTCTAGTAAAAGTAAATTCAACCTAAAGTCTGACTACAATGTAACCCATTATATTATAATATCTAATCTATATTTGACACATCTGCTGACTACAATACAAACTCAGGAACTATCCGTGTGTTATGTAAATTTCAAAATTGTACCATTTAAACCTTTAAATGAATAAAATGAGAAATGTGAATCGGATATGCCACTCTGTAATGGAGGGTCGGCTAAAATTACACTAGTAGTCCCTATAATTAAAGAAAATATTATGTTTGTTCTCGTCTCTGTGCTAATTATAAAAATTTCCATGCGTTTTTTTTACATAAGTTAAGCGATAAACATTCAATGCGATTGTACAGGGTGTCCCAATAAACATGGGAATTCGGTGGCGAATTCGATATCGTCTTTTTAAATAATTCTTTGATTTAGTATAGTGATATCTACTGAGAAAGCTGTAATCTGGAAGAGTTTCGTCTGCAATGTTCACATTTTGTTTGTTTATGTTTTGACTGCATACGGTTGTACTTAGTAAA